ATTTTCATATGGCAATTGAATTGAATAGTCAAATTGATATTGGCCTGTCATTTGGGCAATTTTCTCGAGCATGTTTCTATTCAAATTAATTTGTTGCAAAAATAAAAATGGAAAAATAATATTGGCTTGGTCAACAACCATTTGACATTATTGGTTGAACTATTGACTTATTTGACCAGCTCAATGGATAGTTAATAAGATATTAGTTTTGTTTTCTATTTTTTATTTGTATTTCATCCATTACATTGTAAATATTAATAATTCCCATTTTTACACATTTCTTTTTTACTATGATGATATATAATATTAAATATATGCTGAAAATTTTTAAAAAATTTATAACATTTCTATGTTTTTATCTTTTATTATTTAATTTATGACAACATAAGTTAACTTGTTTGATTAAGAGGAAAATGTATTTCTAACTGAATTTTTATCAATATTCTTTTTTTATGACATATCACCCAATTAGGATTTTAAGCCTATTTATTACTAAGTTGCTTGCCTATAAAAACCATTGACTTAGCCAAGAACATAGCTAGTGACCTAGCTAATTGAACCATTGAACCACCTGACGTGGTAGTGTGATCATGGGTTTTTCTTAATTTTTGTAGTCTATGTCTATCAATCATAAAAATAACTTTTATTTATTACATTTACTTTTTTAGCACAATGAACATTATAGATGTGACAATTACAAATTTTCTATATATTTTTACAATTTATTGCATTTTGTCTATTTTTTAAATTTTTACAATTTAATTATGACATCATGGGTTGACATTGGCCTATCTAATTTAGAAGGTTGGACTGTTCACCTAACACCTGGATAGAAAATGATTTCATTTTTAATCAATTTTATTTTATTTTTATTTTATTTACATGTAATGGAAATGAATCTTATTTAACACATATGGCCCCAAAGATTGAATTGTTGACCCACCACCAGAAAAATAATTTCATTTTTGGGTTGGTTTGAAATTTTATATTTTATTTCCAACATCAATAAAGTAACTATTATTTATCTTACTTATTTTTCTTTATGATCAATATAAAATATTAGATAGATGCCTAAGTGTTATTTACAATTTTTTTTGTATTATTACATAATGTTTGTGTGATTTATATTTTTCTATTTTTGTTTAATTATGATATTAAGGGTTGAAACATTTGACTCAAAAGGTTGAATTGTTGACTCTCCATTACAAATATAATTTTTATTTTTGTATTGGTTTTAAGTTTGTATTTCATTCTAACATCAATAAGAATAATTATTATTTTTTCATACTTATTTTTCTTTAATATGATTAATATATATATGTAATTAAAGATGCGACCATTTTTCTATATTTGTTATTCATTTATTTTAAATTTTTTTTATTTACTTATGACATCATGGATTAGTCCACTTGCCCCGGATGGTTGAATTGCATACTCGCCACCATGATGGAAAAATGGTTCCATTTTTGGGCAAATTTTAAAATAAAATTGTATTTTATATTGTTAAAAGTATTGGATGTAGATCTAATTGATAAAATTTATTTGTTTTTATTTTTTGAAAATAATATTTTAAACATAGGATTTAATAAAAGAATGAAAGTTAATAAGACTTAATGTGAAGGAATTAAATGGGGAGAAATGTGGTAGTTCAAACTACATTTTGTGTCCTCACAATTAGAGAGGGAACAAATTCAAAAATAGGGGTATTGTAGTTAAGAATAGAATTCAATGAATGTGAATGAGAGTTAATAATTTAATGAGAGGAATTTGAATGAGGAAGCGATTTTCAAGTTACATTTAAACCTTTAAAATTAGACAAAGACCAAAGTCAAAAATTGATACTTTAGTCAAACAAAAGTTCCACACCATTATTCATACTTTTAGTAATAGTATATATATATATAAGATTTAAATGAAAAGTGTAAAATGACATTTTTACTATAGCTTATTTTCCAATTATTGAACAAAAGAACTTTTGTGTCTTTTTTATCAAAAAAGCACTAACAGGGACCTGCGTGATGCACTGGATTTGTTAAATTAAAGATAAATAATAGAAACATGAAAAAGTATACAATTGTTCTATATAATAATTAATAATCATTTATATTTTATATACTAATTTTAATATTTTTTTACAATACAAAAATAACAATAATTAATTTTAGATAGGGTTGTTTATCAAACTTAGGGATGACAATTTTCCCCATTTCCCCAATCCCCGTAGGGATATGCCCCAAATGGGGTAGTGATGGGGATGATTTTCCCCCTGTGTGGACGGAGATGGGGAAATTTTCATCCCCATCGGCAGGGACAGGGAGAGCACTCCTTGCCCCACGAGGACCTTGATCCCCATCCCATGGGATCCCCAATAATATATATGTCCCCGTCCCCACCCCACCCTGTTGCCATTCCTAATCAAGTTAATGAAACTGGCCAACCCAATTTCTAGTATTTTTTAGTCAACTTTGGTTCAACAATTTCCCAAACCAACTGGGTTGGATCAGTTTCACTTTGGCCATTTATAAATTGACTAAAATCGAATGACCCAACCATAGATATATATATTTATATTTATATTTTATATTTTAAATATATTTTTAATACGAGAAAATGGGAAAATTTCATTATTTCTTAAGCTAAAATATTTTATATCATAAATTTATTTTTTTTAAGTTTAAATATTTTGAATCAACTGACCAAACCAAAAATTGACCCAAACCGATATAACCTAAGTGACCAATTCCCCAACCTAACCAGGTCAATTTGGTTGGCCAAACAACCTACAATTGAACTAAACCAACCCGTGAACTATAGTTTAATTTCTAATAATTATTAAAAATTTATATAGAAAATACACTAAATTAAAATTTAAAAGCTAAATAACAATAGTTTAAACTCCAATAATTATTGAAAATTTTCTATTAAATAACAAAACAAAAATAGATTTACACATAATTATTGAAAATATATTTATCACAAAAAGCAATAAATAATTACTAAAATACGATAAATATTAATTTTAGTATATATAGATCAAGTTTTTTAAATTATTATTAATAACAATAATATTTTTGAATGTTATTTTCTAGAATTATTAATTGGTTTAAGTGAAATTAGTTATTTATAATAATTTTTATTTATTGAAATAATACCATTATTTAAATTTTAAAATATTAATTAATTGTTGAATTTAATAATATATAAAATTAAAGTATTATTAGTACATAATTTGTTATTTTAACTACTTAAAGTCTAGTTACTATTTCATTATTTAAAATATTTAGTTATTTAACTAATATTTCTTAATCTATTTATTATAATTGAAAGTTATTTAGTAACTATTTAAAATATATTATTAATTGATTTAAAATATTAATTTTAATATTTTGTTATTTAAGATATTTAGTTATTGAAGTATTTAAATAATATTTCATTTTTACTGTTTGATTTTTATTATTTGAATAACAGTTAGATTGAATAATCCATAAAATCATAATTTATATTGTTTGTACATAATTTCTTGATGAATTTTGTAAAAATATTTAATTATTAATAATATGAATATTATTAAATAGATTATAATTATTGTTTTCTTTTTAATCAATATTTTAGTTATTATATAATTTTATTAGAATATTTAAATAATTCTTAAATTTTTTAATTAAAACTTTCTTTAGATAGATGTAGATAAAATGTGGGGGTGGAGTTAGGAGAAAGTTGGGGATAGTGGGGGAGGTTGTTTAGGAGAAATTTTAAGATATTAAATTATTTAGGTTATTGGACCGTGTGGGGGAGAGAGAGAGAAAGAGATACTTTAGGAAGATTTTTTTGGGGAAAGTAGAGTTTATGATTGGTAGTTTCAAAAATGACATGGATTAAAAAAAATTAAAAATTCAAAAAAGGAGAAAATTTCTAGACTTTTTTCTTTCAAATTACAAGAATGCCACTCTCTTTTTTCTTATAAATTACAAGAATGCCATCTCCCACTCTCTCTCCTACCATCTCTCTCTCTCCTTATAAATTACAAGAGTGCCACTCTCTCTCCAATTGAGGGAGACCTCAGCTCAGCATCTTGACTGATAGGGGACCTGCAATCAAAGGTAGTCGAGTTCAAGCCGAGCCGAGCTCGGATTTCTAAGCTCAAGCTCAAGTCTCTAATTCGAATCGAGCTCGAGCTAGACGACACCTCGACCACTGAGGGAGACCTCGGCTTGGCACCTCGGTCACTGAGAGAGATCTCGGCTCAACACCTCGACAATTGAGGGGGACCTCAACTTGGCATCTTGTCAACTAAGGGAGACCTTAGCTCGACACCTCAACTCGACACTTAAGTAGTTGAGGGAGACCTCGATTTGGCACCTCGGAAATTGAGGGAGACCTTGGCTCGACACCTTGGTTGCTTGAGAGACCTGCAATCAAAGGTAGTCGAGTTCGAACTTTCGAGCTTTTGACTTGAGTCGAGTTCAAGATTGAGCTCAAGTCTCTAATTTGAATAAAGCTCGAGCTTAATTGTTTATGAGCGAGCCCATGCAACGCATGGCCCCCTCCACTAGTATGTATATTAAATGAAAATGTAAAATAAAATTTTTGCCATTACTTGTTTTCCAATTCAAACATTAGAGAGGGGCATCTGTTCTCCAATAAAAATTTCAAAAGCAGAAGACACCCATTCGCACTTTTATAGATAGTATAAATGTTATAATAAGCAACTACTTTCCACAAGAAAACACAATGAGGCCTCCAAGCCTTTTTATTTTTTCCGCCAAAATTTACTCCAGTGGAGGGGTGGTTGCCACAGATTTATTAGCATGCAAGAAAAACCTCGGAGAGGGGACGTGAAGGCCTTACCCTACCCCTCAAAATCTATACATTAATGAGGCCTCCAAGCCTTGCCTTCCACTTCTCACCCATTTCAAGTACTTGTTAACTGTTCGCAGCTCAATTTCTCAATGTTTCCCTTCTTCCATTTCAGATTCTTTCGATCTTGTCTTCCCTAACTGAACTCCCTCAGTAGGCTTACCGGTAGAGAGATCAGGAGCTACTCTCTGTTTTCTCTTTGCCTTCTCAGCCCAGTTAAGAAGGGTATGCTGTATATGCTCTTCAAATATAGCCATTTTGTAGTGACTTCCCATCTTCAAATAGATTAAGAAAAAAAAGATAAGAGTCAAAAGTTAGTATCATTATGAAATCTTTAGTCTTTTTTAACCTTTAGTTAGAACTAGGATAAATTTAGATGAAAAAGCAACTTACCTGTGTGACAATGGCATAAAGTGGTAGTGTGCTGTAGCTGCACAGTACCTGAACGAAACCCCTAAAAAAAAGAAACAGAAAATGAATCCACATATGAACAAATTTACCTGTTATTGTGAAGTACAAAGAAACATGGCGGAGATAGGTAAAATTAAAAGAGTAATGAGAGATGATTCTACCCTATAACTAGTCTTGGGAAAATATAACCGATGTGGCCCATGATGCAGGATTTAAAGCCATATTGAACCTAAATTTGATGGAAGCATCAGATCCAATGCATGTAAGCTAGAGTTAAATTGAAAAACAAAAATACCACAAATACATAATGTTTGCTTACCCATATCCAGAAGAAAAGTGCAATCTCAAAAGAGTTTTGGAATAGTATTAAATGAATTAACAGCAGGACAATCTTGGGTTTACGAAACCAGAAGAGATCATCTGAAGGTGTAACAACCAAATCTCCTTCTATTGCATAGTGTTTCTCAGCAACTTTATGGGCCAACTGAGTAATCACATATTCAAGCTTTGTGCCCACCACAAGTAGAAGCTGCAGAAACCGCTTATCAAATGCTAATTTTCTTTTCCATGACATTTATCGAAAAAAAAAAAATCTTTTCCATGACCTGGTAGGTCTTAACAAAAATGACAAGTTCATACATGCATAGCCACAATTGATTATGATCACACAAAACACATAATACACTTAAATGTCTCTTTGCATGAGATATTTCACATTGATACCAAAATGTACAAAAAAAAAAAGAAAATCATATAAGATTAGAAAAAAGTCCTTTCTTTTTGAAAACCTTAAGGTAGATGTAGATTTCTGCACCTATATACACATTTATTATAGCATGTGGTTGCATCTTCCTATACATATCCTTTTCTATTTAAATCTTGACACCTCAAAGCCCAATTTTTGTCGTTTTGAATTCCTTCACCTGAGGAATTTGTGACACAACATGAATGTGTGTACAAAACTAGTTCCTTCACCTGAGGAATTAGTTACATCAATGACTTGTATAAAACTAAAAATGTGTATATCTAAAGTCTAAACACGCAACATGAAATGTGGCTTGCCAGAATTTGTGACTTCTAAAGCCTTATACTTCAAAATCATACTTCTCCTATGGTCATGCTATAATTTTGGATGACAACATAGGAAATATTAGGTTGGGTCATGTAGAGGTATAACAACTTCCCTACTAGTCTCTGAAACACTCCCCTGTCAAGCAAGAACTCTCATTTGTAGAGAATTGATTGTAGTCAATAGAAGTGGAAGCTGGCTTAGCACCAAGTTCACCTATCGTTTTTAGCAAGTCAAGAACATATATACTTCCTTTGAGATATAAAGATCCCTTCCTTAGAATATGCTACCTCAATGCCCAGGAAGTACCATAGCCCACCAAGATCCTTAATCTCAAATTTAGTTTTAAGAAACCATTATTTCATAAGAAATCAAGGGAAATGAGAGAAGAGTTAAGGGAGATTAAAGAATAAAGAAGAGAAGAAGAGAGAAGGAGAAGATACGGAGAGCCAAAATGTAGGTTGGTAGTGTTGGATAATGTATGTCCTCAACTCTAATTAATGTATTGTAGAATACTTTATTATGAATAAAAGAATATTTGCTTAATGTGTCATGGGTGTGTTCTACTATTTACCCCTTAGTTTATATTAGTATTATATATGAGGTCACATGGTTATTTCAATATGGACTTAAATGTTCACAACTAGTGGACAAACTTGGGGAGTTTATCCTAACAAGGTTGACATTCTCACACTACCCAAGTAGTGGAGTAGTGGGTCTTAGTTCCTCTGGTTGTGATCTGAAGTGTGAGGGTGTGTGTTTACTAGAAACATTATACTAGACCATATCTAGTGGGCATTATACTAGCCCACCTTTGATATGCCAACCAATGAGATCCTTTTGGGGTCAAATACCTAAGTATGTTGGGGTGGTTAAGAATGATATTTGAGTTGATGATTAATGTGATAAAATCTTAGGACATAAGAAACACTCTATACAGCCCCTATGGTGAATGCCTGAATATGTCGATTGTAGGATTGCATGAATCCTCAATTGGGTTATTAGAGGGGGAGTTGGAAAATAGATCAATAAAGAAATAGAGGGTATGAGTCCTTCCCTAATGCAGTGTCAAGTGTTAATGGCAGAGATATTATATGCAAAGTGATATTTTGGGCTTTTACCTAATAATCGCTTAAATAGGCTGAACTAATCAGACATAGGCCTTTAGGATGGTAAGGCTACCAAGTGGAAAATTCAGGTTTTAAGTTGGGGCTTGCACACATCTATGTGGTAGTTGGGCCTAAGTGTTGGTTAAGTTCATTAACTTGTGGGCCCCATGCCATACAAGCTTGTCTACCCAAACTTGATCTCCTGTGCAGGTGGAAATACTAAATTCCATTGCATGGGTTTTTTCTCTTGATTGCACTAGTCAAACTAGGTTTTGACTAGATCATATCACTTGGAATGTGTTTTCTAAGGTAGTTACGAGTCTTTGTGAGAAAGGTTTCCTATTAGTTCCTAGATAAAAGGAAAAGTGGACTGAAGTAGGGAAGATAGAAGGGAGTGAGGGCCAAAAGTGGTTCTGGCAGCACCTCTATTAGATTTTATATTAAGGCGACAGTACAGCTAATAAACAAAACATAAAAAAATGACAATAATGCCCCTGTGGACCATACATAGACAAATTCACAACAAAGAGAAAGAGTTCTTGGTGAGAGGAGAAGAAGAGAAGGGGAGAAGCCTATAATAAACTGGCCACCCTAGTCATTATTTTATGTACTTATAAAATAAAGTTGATTACAATGACTAATATGCCCTTAATAGGGCGGCTACTGCTAATAGCATAAAAAACAGTCCCAAAAAGATAACATAAACAAATGGACTTTGGGCCTAATAACGCTAACTAATGATTATAAACTGTAGAGAAAGTTAATAGTGTGTGGTTCCAACCCCACACTTATTTGTCTTATTATGTTTCTTATTTTCTTTTATAATTGGGCCGGCTGGGCCTTTTTTGGTTCTCTTTTTAATTTGAGTTTTAGTTTAAGTAGGGGTACTAGTGTAACTCCGACTCTTGTAAGGAGATTAGTGTTTATAAATAGCAACTAATGGGGCAGCAGTAATATACAACCGAACCCCTTCTTTCTTCTCTCTTCCCTCTTCCCTCTTCCTTTCTCTCTTCTTTCTCTCTCTTTCTTCTTCTCTTCGAACCTATGTTTCTTTTCTTAAATTACATCAACCACTGCAGCATCCTTTTTGTTTGTTCAAGTTAAACAAGAAAACATAAGAAATTGTTGAATCTCAATAGATCATAATAGTAAGTTGGAACTAGGAACATGGACATAATAGTGGGTTGAATTTCAATGGACTTTGGAAGACAACAGACCTAGAGCAGAATACCAAATTCTGGGATGAAGAATAGATGCTTTGACCCTACCCCAAGGGTCCTTTATATAGAAAGTGAAAGTTACAGAAATTACAAAGAGGCCCTTCTAGGGCAACGCAATTTAGAGAATTTACAAGGAGGCCCTTGCAGGGCTGAAGTGAAAATAATAATAAATAAGAAAACAATACAATAAGGACCACAATAAAATGGTACATCAGGGAGTTTCTTCACACTCCCCTCAAACTGATGCAGAGGCATGAATATCAGTTTGCTTTCAAGAAATAAGTCTCTCGATCTTGTCATGGCCTTTGTGAAGATGTCAGCAACTTGCATATCAGAGGCAACATGAGGGAGAGAGGTTGAGTTTGCAAGAAACAAATCATGGATAAAGTGGCAGTCCACCTCAATATGCTTTGTCCTTTCATGAAAGACATGATTAGAAGCAATTTTAATAGCACTAGTGTTATCCGCATATAGAGGAATGGGTGTAGGAGAGGAATGTCCCAACTCCTGAAATAAAACAACTTCACTACAAACAGATGACATTGCCCTGTACTCTGCTTCCGTAGAGGACTTGGAAACAGTCTGTAGTTTTTTCACTTCCATGATATTAGAGAGTCACCCATGAAGACACACCATCCGGTAGTGGAGCGTCATGTGTCAGGGCATCCAGCCCAATCTGCATCAGCATAGGCTTTCAGTTGGAGAGAAGAAGATGAAGAGAAGAAAAGACCCTGTGATAAAGAACCTCGAATATATTGGATGATTCGATGCATTGCAGTCAAATGAGGTTGATGAGGTGCAGAGACAAATTGACTAACAACTTGAACTACATGTGAGATGTCAAGACGAGTCATGGTCAGATAGATAAGAGAGCCTACAAGTTGTCGATAGAGGGAAGCATCAGGAAGCAGAGAGCCTTATGATTTGGATAATTTGACATTCAACTCTAAGGGAGTATCAACCTGTTTACTATCACTAAGGTTGGCCAACTTAACAAGATTAGAGGCATACTTTTGTTGGCAGACAAAATAACTTGGCAGCTCCGTTGCACTTAAAGTCCTAAGAAATAGTTAAGAGGGCCGAGATCCTTCATGTGGAAGGAACTATGGAGAAGAGACTTGAGGTCCTAGATTCCTTCTATATCATCTCCAGTCAATAGTATGTCATTCACATATAGTAAGAGAATGGTAAGGCCCTGAGGTCTTTTCCGAACAAAGAGAGAGTAATCCGATGCACTTTGGCTATATCCAGCTTGCACAACAACATCTCTGAATTTTTCAAACCAAGCTTGAGGGGCTTGTTTGAGCCCGTAGAGGGACTTCTTTAGTTGACAAACGGGGGAGGGATCACTGCAGTACCCTGGAGGAGGTTTCACATATATTGTTTCCTTTAGATGCCCATGTAAAAAGGCATTTTCACATCTAGTTGAAAGATTGTCCAAGAGTGAGCAGCAAAGAGAGCTAAAAGAACACGAACTGTAGTAATATTGGCTACTAGAGCAAAAGTCTCTTCATAGTCAATGCCATACTCCTGCTTATATCCTTGTGCCACAAGCCTGGCTTATCAGATTTTAGCTTGATGGAATAGACCCATTTGCTCCCAATAATAGAACCATCTGAAGGTGCTGGCACAAGGTCCCAGGTGTCATTCTCATGCAAAGCTTGAATCTCTGCATCCATGGCTTCTTGCCACTGAGGGCTGCTACTAGCCTGCTGGTAAGAGCGGGGAATATCTGTAGAGGTCAAAACAGCAGAGAAGGAGCTATTGTTTAAAGGAAACTCATAGCGGTCAGGTGGTTTGGAGATATGAGCAGGATGACGTAAAGGAACAGGAGGAATAATTGAGGAATCTAAAGCTGGAGCATCACTTACAGGGTTGTCTATGATGGGTGAGGGATTCGGACCAGGAGGAAGAGGGGTCGTAGGCGTAGGAGCTGGACCATGAACCCGCTTGCGAGAGAAGATGAGAAGTTCCTTCTCAGCAGTGGATGATGGAGAATCCTGTTATTCAAAATCATGCAAAACTTAAATAGATGGTGCAAATAACTTGGCAATTCTTGAGAAAAAGGAGGTATGCTCAAGAAAATTCATATTTCGAGAGATACGAATTCAACGTGCTGAGGGATCATAAC